GTGAGAAATATAAAGTTCTTTGTAAAGGTAACATGATTAATAATGTATGAACTTAAGTATGATTAAGCGGCGCATAAAATCTAACAATTGATAATTACAGTCTGATGTAACTATTTTTCTTTTATAGTAGTGATATACATGTACGTATATTGTCCTGGTATCAAATTACTATTTTAACACTCCTCGTCATTATAGACAAAGAAGAAAAAACCCGGTATTAAACTGCCAATAAACACTGGTTAGGGACTACTTGTGTATGGGGCTGTTATGTTTTCTCCCTCAATTTTATAGTTAACGAAACCTTTTAAAGCAACAATAAAAACATTTTTATTTATATTTGCAGTTTTCATTATGTTTTCTTTCCATACAATACCAAAATAATATTTCACATACACTTACGCCATAGATTTGATCCATATCAGTTGATAAATATTTTGACAAAACGGCGCAGCGTAATGACGTTATCCTAAGTATACAACTCATTCATAACTCCCTGATGTCATTACAAACAAACATGAGCACTGGTGTAAACACAATACAATCCATTCTAAGACGTAAGATTTTATTGTAGAAAACTTGATAAAATAACATTTTTATATTTATTTCTTTTGTTTCGTAATTTCTATGTATTAGCAACAGTAGGGTGAGAAATCGAACAGCTTAAAATTTAATCGAAAATCGGCATTGAAAGTTATTTTTCACTTGAAAAATAACATTAGTGATGTTTCTTATTTTTTCTTGTTAGAATCGAAATAATATCGGTCTGAGCACTGTGTTTATCGGCTATTTAACACCGGCTTTGTCATTTTATATTTTTAATTTAAAAAAAACAACAAATTACCACTCCGGCATACGGCCTTCGATCGTGGTCAATTCCTACGCATCAAAACTCCAAACCGATGTTAAATAGCCGATAAACATGGCTAAGACCGATATTATTTCTTAATTAATATCTCATTATAACAATTTTATTACTTACAAATTACCTGCTAAACTTTATTATACTATTAATTTCACTTTTTAAAATTAAAATATAGTCAAAAATGTATTTACAATACAATGATCGATATGATTTACTTTTACTTGAATATGAAATTTGTCTACCATAACCAAATTATTATCCACCAGATTGTCAAATTTGTCAACCTAATTATATGTGCTCGAGCTAAATAAAGCGTTTTATTATATATTTATCAATGACATATTGAGCGTATTGATGAAATAAAATGTGTATTTTCATTTTCCGATTTTGACTGTAAAAAAAATTTTTTTACTGCAGTGAAAATATTTTCCGTATTTTCACTGATCTTGCCGGACTTTTTGCTATATTCAGCCAATGCGCAAAATTAAAGGGAAAGTCTTTAAAATTGTGATGTAAAAAACGAACATAAGAAACAGATGTACATATTAAACAGATAAAAAAGTTTATTCTACAAATACAGGATTTATTTTCATCTTTCGGTATGAAAATTATCATATTTCACCTAAATATTTATTTTCATTCAACACGATGAAAATAAATACTGTTTTAAAGGAAAAAAATTGAATGTTCTCTATACACAGTCAACTCCGGATATTCTGAAAACATACATGGGATGGCGAAAACGTTGTAACCATTATCTCGCATTGTCTTGTCGAAGGAAGGGTTTGGCCTCTTAAAGCCCCCTCCCCGCCCTATGTTTACGTGTCTGAATACGGCTGTAATCTAAATTCACATTAAATTCACTTAGAATATATCACAATATTATCATGAGATTTTGCATATAGCATTGCCTAGCGGTCTACAAAAGTTATGTCCCCTTAGAAAAAAGCGGCCCCGCTCATGCAGAAGTGTAGAAGCCACTTATTTAACTTAGAATTGCATAGTAAAATACTACAAAAATATTATTCTGGCAAACCTTGGGTCACTTAGTTAATATTCTTCTATGTACTTATATACTGGCCACCTTCAACTAACAGAGTTTTACTGCCAGGTTATGCGCTAGAGGGAAAAGAAGAGTAAAATAGTGAGGAATATATGCAGTGCAGGTTAAAAACGGTCAAGCATGCGGTTAAGTTAAGAGTTGGGACAGATGACTACGGAATGACTCAACTGTACCGGCTGATATAGTATCTTGAGGGAGGCTGTTCCAGTCTTTGATGGTGCGTGGGAAAAAGGATTGTTGACGATATTGGGTGCGGCAGTAAAGGATCCTGTAGGATAGGTTATGTGCATTTTTTATAGGCATGAGTTGTGAGTTGTCTAGAGCGACCTTGTTGTTGATGAATTTGTAGAGCATGATCAGCCTGACCTAACGACGCTTTTGTAATGATTTCCATTCCAGGTCTGCTCACATGTCTGTGACGCTGGACCTGTTGTGATACTTGTTCTTAACATAATGTGCAGCTCGTCATTTGACCATGTCTAGACGGTGTATGTCTCCTTTCTCGTGGGGGTCCCAGACAGTGCTTGCATACTCCACTGTAGGCGGACTATAGAACTTAGTAGGCCGTTTCTTTGGTGGATGTAGAGGTGATGTTAAGGTTTCTTTGCAGGAAGCTGATGGTACGGTTGGCTTTGTTGCAGATGTTATGTTTATGTTGGCCCCAGTCTAGGTTGTTATTCAGTGTGCATCCGAGGTGTTTAGCTGGTGTGACGTGCTCTAGAGTATGACCATGAAGAGTGAATAGTTGTGGCAGATGGGGCTTCTTTTCTTGGAGATGCTGAGGACTCGGCATTTGTCTGGATGGAATGACATTTTCCACTTCTCTTCCCAGACATCTAGTTTGTCGAGGTCAGCTTGAATGGTGGAACAGTCGGACTTGTTGGTGATGGCGAGGGAGGCCAGCGTATCATCTGCAAATTGTCGGACGACTGTGTAAGTTTAGATCTGTAGGCTGCGGTGTCACAATATTGTCAACATATGTCCAGTAAGCTTGTCGGAAATTCTTCTACACTAAGTGTTTGCAGTTCTTGTAATTTCTTTGCTGTTGTTTGTCTTGGGATGTTTTCATTTTCTTATGGAGACGGTCTCGTTTCCGAATTAGTCTTTTGATGTTCTTGTCAATCCATGGTGATGCTTCTCTTGGTCCAGCAGTTTTGTGAGGCATATGTTGTTGTGTTCTTGTTTTAATGTAGTTGTGAATTTGATCCAGATACTGTTGATGTGGGTGTTGTTTTCCGCCATAGACTTCGTTGTTTGGTGAAGTGTTGCAATGTCTTTCTTCATGCTATCCCATCGACCTTTCTTGTAAAGGGGGATTTTCCGGGGTGTTTGGGTATGGGTGACACGGCTAAGATCAAGCTCAATGAAGTCAGTGTCATGGTCAGACATGCCGAGCATTGTAGTGACTTGCTGTACTTTGCTTGTTATAACGAGGTCAAGACTGTTGTTATTTCTTGTTGTATCTTCAACAATTTTGATAAGTCCATTGACATCTAGGCAGTCTGAGAACTGATAGTTGAGGCGTGCATAGGCCGTGCTTACTTTTAATGTTTTTGATTTCCAGTCCAGCCTTGCAGGGTAAAGTCGCCAACGCCTCCGCCTGTGCCTGTCTTTCGATCATTTAGCCATAGTTTAAATTTGTCTGGGACGATTTGGTTGTCGGTGATAGAGGGGTTCAGCCATGTTTCTGTGATAATAATGATATCAGGTTGGTGCTCTCTATGAGGTTTTCTATTCTGTCTTGCTTTTTCTTAATGGACTGGCTGTTGACATTCAGGATTCTAAGTGGTAGCTTTTTGGTGGTTTCTTCTTTGGGATTCTACTTCTTTCTGGAGTTGATGATTGAAGAGGTTTTAATTTTTATTGTGTCTTTGGGCTCTGCATGTTTGTGCTTGTAAGCGATAGTAATTCAAAAAGATTTGACTTTGATAGTGAATGTAGGTCGAAGCGCACAGCTCTAGTTTAGGTTGTTGCAGAGAAGTCAGTCCAAGCGTATAGCGCTATCTTCATTTAGGATATTATAGTTTCAAGAGTGAACATCTTGGCAATTAAGGTGGTACCATTGGTCACAGATGTGGCAAACATCGGCCCGGTGATCCCATGTTACTGGCTGGTGACATGGGTAGACACTGCCGTCGTTTAGTGGGGTCCAGGGTTTACTTTGACGTCATTTGAATTGGCGAGAAGTAGTAGAGTTAAATATACTAGGAAGAACTTCTTGTCGGAGAGTTTATTGCTGGTACTGGTAGATTTCCGTCTGCAAATACTCAGCAGAAGGTGTGTTGACTTGTAATTGGTAATGTCGTAGCATGTCTTGGGGTTAGCTTTGATGTAGAGCAGAGCTGGAATACTATCAGATACATGAGGTTTCTGTGGAAGGTATACTTAAATAACAGCAAGTACATAGCAAGTGTACCATAGTGGTGGTAGACCTTCAATTGTTTTCATTTTAGGTACTAAGTAATTTCAAGTTGTGTGGTCTTATGCAGTCTTGTTAATATCATTTTTTTGCAGTAGAACAATTTTATTTAAGTAGGCATAATAATATACATAATATTTCAGTCAATAAAGTAGATAAAATTTACAGCATTCGCCCTAGTTCCCCCTTTAAATGTTAATCATGCAATAGAAAAACAATTCATATAGTCTGCATGAATGTAGACTAGCATTGTAAAACAATTAAGTTTTGTGTAAAATTATAATGCCGATAGCTACAAATGTGACATATTTGTTATCAAACAGTTCATAGTAGATAGTGAGTGACACCATCAAATCGTTAAAAATCATGCAGTCTGGAAAGAGGAAAACCCAATCTGACTTCATTAGACTAATCTGACTTCATTAGATCTATTGGTATAATGGTTACACAAGGTGTATTAGATCTTTTTCAAATAATTATATAATAACATCATTTTTCATAATGAAACATAAGTTTTTACTATTAATCATTCGACGACCGGTACAGACCGGGCCAGTAAATATGATACTATTCTTCGGTTTCTTGTATTGGCTGGTCAAAAGAGACCGGGAGAGACCGGGAACCGGAAGCGACCGGATTGGCAAATAGTATGGTTACTCCCCTTTGATAAATGATCGTCATTGATCCTGCAAAAATATTTTTCGTTTAACAGTTTGTTTCAATAGAATATCAGGTAAAAATGTTTAATATTTCTATCGTCTATCGGAGGTTTATCTTACTGTGTGTAGTCGAACCCCATTGTATCGGGGCAGCACTAAATACCCAAATATACCCAAATATACCCAAATATTGCCTAAATAAATAAATGTTTTATACTTAAAAAGTGATGTTTTAATCATGAATACAATATAGACTTTCACTAAGATGTAATGATAGATCTATACATTTTCCTACCATTATGTTTTGAACCAAAATACAGTATATATATGTACTCCATTAAAGCTATTTTTTTAAACATGGACACTTGTATATGATATGAAATCGGTGCATAGAAAAACCGGAAAGCACCGGATAGCACCGAAATACCGGAAAGCACTCAAATTTCTATTAAAAACATATGAAAACGTTAATTAATCGGTTTGAAAGTGTTACCAATCGATTTATTAGATTAAAATCTTTCAGACAAGTCATTTTTATATTTATATATTGATAATTATTAAGAGTATTTAGGAAAATAGATATATCGAGTGCTTTCCGGTCCTGTTAAGATACATGTACATTACCGGATAGCAATATTGTTTATCAAAGTTATACATGAAAACTTTATTTTATTGGTTTGAAAGTGTTACCAATCGATTTATTAGATCAAAATCTTACAGACAAGTCATTTTTATAAAAATATATTGATAATTTTTACGATTATTTAGGAAAATAGATATATCGTGTGCTTTCCGGTCCTGCTAAGGTACATGTACATTACCGGATAGCAATATTGAATATCAAAGTAATACATGAAAACTTTATTTTATTGGTTTGAAAGTGTAACCAATCGATTTATTAGATCAAAATCTTTCAGACAACATGTTTTTATAAATATATATTGATAATTATTACGTTTGATTAGGAAAATAAGAAATATCGAGTGCTTTCCGGTCCTGCTAGGGTACACGTACTTTACCGAATAGCAATATAGTTTATCAAAGTAATACATGAAAACTTTATTTTATTGGTTTGAAAGTGTTACCAATCGATTTATTAGATCAAAATCTTTCAGACAACATGTTTTTATAAATATATAATGATAATTATTACGAGTATTTAGGAAAACTGATATATCGAGTGCTTTCCGGTCCTGCTAAGATACATGTACATTACCGAATAGCAATATTGTTTATCCAATTAATACATGAAAACTTTATTTAATTGATTAATTAAGTTGACATTATTTCAATTAAAAATATTATGATTAGTTACACGATTTTTCAATCTTGCTCATACCATAGATCTGACAATGTATCATATTTCTAATATTTTATAGGTTGTGTGAAGGACAGAAAGAGGATGTGTAAAAAGTACCAATAAGTTATTCAAAGCATCGAACCATATTTTTTCTTATTATATTTTTATATCATGTAAAATAAAGAAAAACTTATAAATTTTCGTTCAGTTATGTCTTTATTTTTTCCATACTATGTGTACCGAAAAGCAATGTGGTCATCAGTGGAGGACAGTAGTTGTTGTATTGTTTATCACACGTGCTAATCCTTGCTGATTAAAGACCTTGTATATTGTAGCACAAAAAGGTGATGATTTAATCAATTTGTACACAATTATGATAATTGAGAGTACCGACCTGCACATCAAAGTTGCATTAATTAGACACTGTCCTTTACATGCACATTAAATTAGATAATTAGAAATTGCAATTAACTACACACTCTTTTGATATAAAATTAATTTTGTTTAATGAAGATTATTACGGCACTCATGAAAAGAAATGTTTGTAACGGATATATACGAAATCTCTTAGAACTTTATATCAAGGTCAATTGTGTATTATTAACACCTCTTTAAATGTGATAATTAAATCAGCGTGTGTCCGTTCAATCAGCGTGTGCACGTGTAATAAACGAGGCGTGAAGTGTGCCTTGATTGATTTCAATATCATACTTCTTTTTCAATTATGTATGTATATATGTTTGCTAAGTTCTGTTTTATATCTGTTTATTTTGTTCTTAGTATTTAGTTTCGTTTATTTTTATTTATTGCACTGTTTATTGTCAAAAATAAAAAAACATCACTGAAACAATTATTGTTCTTCTCTTCCTGCTATTTTGAATCCTCTTGTCTTCCATATAGCCTACAACAAATAAATATATTAATATATTAGACAAGGTACATACATTTTAAATATTTATATACCATCTGTATGTCTGAGGTAAGAGGACCAGTGCTTTTCGGTGATGTATTACTATTACTTCACAGGACCGGAAAGCAATAATGGAATGTGCAGGACCGGAAAGCACTCGATATATCTATTTTAATATCTATTTTAAACTTTTTTATTCGTAATATTAATTAATTTTTAGTGAAAATTCGAGTGCTATTCGGTACATATACTTAACAAAACCGGAAAGCATTCTCAATTTCTTTAACATTCCTAAATAATCGTTATAATAATCATAGTACAATTATAAAAACATGTTGTCTGGAAAATTTTGATATATTAAATCGATTGGTAACACTTTCAAACCAATAAAATAAAGTTTTCATGTATTACTTTGATATTCAATATTGCTATCCGGTAATGTACATGTACCTTAGCAGGACCGGAAAGCACTCGATATATCTTATTTTCCTAAATAATAGTAATAATTATCAATATATATTTATAAAAACATGTTGTCTGAAAGATTTTGATCTAATAAATCGATTGGTTACACTTTCAAACCAATAAAATAAAGTTTTCATGTATTACTTTGATATTCAATATTGCTATCCGGTAATGTACATGTACCTTAGCAGGACCGGAAAGCACTCGATATATCTTATTTTCCTAAATAATCGTAAAAATTATCAATATATTTTTATAAAAATGACTTGTCTGTAAGATTTTGATCTAATAAATCGATTGGTAACACTTTCAAACCAATAAAATAAAGATTTACATGTATAACTTTGATAAACAATATTGCTATCCGGTAATGTACATGTATCTTAACAGGACCGGAAAGCACTCGATATATCTATTTTCCTAAATACTCGTAATAATTATCAATATATAAATATAAAAATGACTTGTCTGAAAGATTTTAATCTAATAAATCGATTGGTAACACTTTCAAACCGATTAATTAACGTTTTCATATGTTTTTAATAGAAATTTGAGTGCTTTCCGGTTTTTCGGTGCTATCCGGTGCTTTCCGGTTTTTCTATGCACCCATATGAAATCTCAACAAAATTACACCTTAAAAATGTAAGTGTAGACAACAAATGATTTCGAGACGTTTCGGCCCCAAGACGTATCGGCCCCAAATTACCCAAGACGTTTCGGCCCCAGACGTTTTGGCCCTTTACCAAATCGGCCCAAGTTTAAGTACTGTGTTTGAAACCGGTATATTAAAATTTCATAGTTATAATAATCATAAATGACAATTTTCATGAAGTGGAACGCCAATTTCCAAGTACCTTGAAAGATTTACGATACGTCTTATATATTTTTCGTAAAAGATTAAATCTTTTCCAAAACCATCAACGATTAGATACTTGTTGCATTTAATGTTAACTTCAATGTTTATGTTTATCTCATAATAAATAGCTACTTGTAATTATTTCCTTGATATTAAAAATCTAACACATTTAATTATCAGGTAAGGAAAGTTAGTTGTTCATGCACGTGAAAATCGAAATATCCGGTCATGTAATTTTACAATGAAAAGAAAACAGAAGCCATAATATCTATAATTCTTTGGTCACTGTCAACATCGTTTGATTAAAACTAATTAATAAATATATAGCAGGTACATTTATGATTTTGTTTCAATCTTTCAATCACTTTTATAACATCTAGCATCTATCATTATCTAATAACAATAATGATTAAAAATATTATCAGGAGATTATAGCAAACCGTTTTTTTAAAAATCTTTTGAAGTTTTAACCTGCCTTTATTGTTTGTTACACCTTTAAAAACATTAACGTATATCTAAATGGTTCAAAATATCAAAAGATAATAAATAATTATTTAAAGAATTAAAGGGTCATAAATGTTTAATTGTAATTAAATCAATTATTGTTAATTAATTTAATGAATTGTCTGTACTATATAGTAGGGCCGAAACGTCTCGCAGAAAAGGGCCGAAACGTCCAGGGGCCGATTTTTCTACTGGGGCCGATTTGGTTTGGGGCCGAAATGTCCTGTTTGCCAACAAATATTCATGTATATTGATTTAAAATTGCAAGTACTTTCATAAAGTTACCTATATAGTAGATAAGCAAATGTCACAACTTTATTAACATCTTAACTGCCCATTTCAACGGAATGAATGAAAGTTATAGCAGGGTAGGTCATATTATTTTTATAAATATTTATTTATTTCTGATTATATCCTTGTCTGCCCATGATTCGACACCCTAAGCTTTCAAATGTTATATAAACGATTAAAAAGAAAATTAATCAAAATAAAAATGTCTTACTTGTTAATTTATTTATAATATTTTCACATTATTCCATTATTAATTTTCTATAAAAGATTCAATGACCGATAAATCGTAGTAAATAAAGGTCATTGACCTTATAATCCGCCATTTTAAATGGTCCTTGAGTCGTCACACGCACCTGCAACGCGCACTTGCTTAAAATATTCACTTCCGGTAGCGTGTTTCTGAGGAAATTTCCATTCATTAAAATGTAAACAAAGCAGACAGTTAAAAACTTTTGATAAAAAATCGATAAAAATGAAATAAAACAACATTTATGATAATATTCAGTTAGAATTATAAAAAATGGGATTATTATTTATTTTATCCTTAATTTACCGACTAAAACTTGTTGCTAAATAAAAATTGCCGATACATGAAATGTACACAGTAATATTGATTTTCTCATCCTTTTTGGTACCCCTAAAAAGATTGTGTGACGTAATAAAACATAGTGACGAATCAAGGGCAGGGTCGAATCTAGGGCACTTGACGATAATCTATATTTTACAAAAACAAAAATAAATGTGGGTATATCTGGGACATACGATAAGTTATCGTATATCCCAGGGTATATTTGGGTATTTCGTGCTGCATCATGCTATTTATTGTATCGATCTATTTACAAATCTTTCGATTTTTTTGCAAAATGCACTAGCTGCTGGTTGTTTACATTTACAGCAGTGTCACGAAAATCTTTCGCATTTGTTTTATGCTGTAAAAATGATCAACAACATGTTTCCAGTACCGTCAGATCTTGTAGATTATAAATAGACTTACAAATAGTGGGTTATTATTAAAAGTACATTAACTGTCTGTTGAAAGTTCCTAAATTTATGCTTACATTTTAAAACAGACATCTTAGATTCTAATTGACTGAAAAATCTAACATAAAGATGGTTCAGGCTTTCCAAACTTTGACAAACTGAGTGATTCTCACAATGCATCGATATAATGGCGTGACCTAATTCTTCAACCTGTTTGACATGCCTGTAAATATTCGTATATTCCAAAGCTAAATTTATATATCAGTGATGTTTGCCATGTAAATATTATGACAAAAGAATCAAAATAAATGAACACGCCCCGCATGTTTCCATATTGAACATGGAAAAACCGACATGCTGAAAATAAGTATCGAAACAAATTAGGCACAATTTAGCTTAATATCAGGTACGACAGCATTTATTTGTTGATGTCGTTGGTGTCATGTTAGAATCGATAAAGTGAGTGGTTAGCCGTACTGGCCTACCCATATGGTTCTAGCTGTACATGAGTCATGTATAGATAGCCAGGACACACTGTATTGTCTAGCTGTACGGCAAAATTATACGAAAGTCGAAAAATGCATATGTCAATATGAGTCTTTAATCAAGAATTTTACTAATTACCCGTATTTGCTCTTGTATGTTTAATTTGATATCGGTTATAAGTCGCCGGTAGAAACCGGCGACTATATTTGTAACAGTTTAATATTATATCTATGGTAGGAAAAGGCCTTAAAATATGAAAATTAAAGCAAATCAGTTATTGAACAATTAAGAGCCACAATTATTTTTCATAATCTTAAAAATTCAAACATAAAGTAACGTTGCTCAAGGAAGTGAAATATACAAATATTGACATCTTAGAAAAAACATTACAATTTTATAAAATGAATTAAAAATGTTTCCCTATGGACCAGTCATTGAATATAGGGATACTTTTACTTTTTTCTAGGTGTCAAGCATTGCTATTTTATGATAGATAAATCATGAATGATATTTGAAATGACACGTTTAAATTATTTGGTTGTTTATATCTTCTGAGACCTTTTATATTTCATTATTTTATCTAATTATAAACAGATTCTCCCTGTTTGTAAGAATCCTGTGACTACACATTGTATGTTATTGTTTTAAAATCTTTTAATAGTAACAGATTGCTGGAACTTGTGAATAGTTGGAAAAAGGTACGGCGGCCGATAAGTACCATATTTTATATGTTTACATGTAGGTCTGTATATCCATTTAAAGAATAGATTTTCAAAACCTTTTCATTTATTCTTAGGAAAGGTTTTAACTTTGCCCTTTCTGGTTTAGTTAAGGTTGAACATTATAAAATAGATTTATGCTAAATAGGCACATTAATTGAAATAAATTGTGGTAATCGTTGTCTTCGTTATATTCCGTCAATTTCCGTTGCGCAGGTTACCAAAACGGTATAACGGTATCCGGAATCTTATTAGATACATAGAAAAAATTATCGAACGGAAAGGCAATTAAATGTTAACTATATCGTATGTAAGGACAGGAATATTGATTTCAACTAAATTATACATATTTTCGATAGCGCATATGAATATTTTTTTTATGGAGATACCACTTTTACGTTAGAATTTCATTGTTTTATGCAATAATTAAAACATATATATGTTCAGAGTCACTTCGCAAATATTCGATGACCGTTAATTATTTGGCGATAATTATCAGATTCTGAAATATACAATACGGATTTCGATGTCTGGTGTAATGGTATATGTATAAGGTAGATAACAAGCATTATCACTCGCCTTACAAAATTTATCAAATTATGAAATAAAAAAAATGCTAGAAATGAAACACTATTTATCAACTTATGTTTCATATAGTTAAAAGAAATAATAAAAATAGTTTTATGAAAACTGTAAAAAGGATTTTCAAAGATTTGAACTTGGCCTTCTAGGTCACAACTTCGTCATACTAACCACCACTAGGCCATCGAGCAATATTTATTGATCTATTCTATTAATAAAATCTTTAGCATTAATCATAAGTTACGTAAACTAACGAAACACCTCCGAAAATTGACGAGTCTCAGGTCAATATTGCCAGACAAGGAGAGAGTTTCTAAAAAAGCTTCTAGCTTTCTACTCAATCCTTTTTGCATTTTATTGTAATATATTGTGTGTATATATATATATATATATTTGCTGAAATAAAATATTGTTTAAACCAATATTGCCAGACAATACTTGCTTATTTAATAACCATACCAGTTCCTTGAAAATATTGCTAAGCAAGTTTGCTTCATATATATGATGTTTTATTGTGAATAAACAGTTACTCAACATATTGTTCCTCTTTTCTTTATTCTTGAACCATTAATTAAACTGATATTTTCTTATACTTATGATAATACAATCATTTTTCTTCCCGCCGACTTGATGCTTTAGCATCAAAACATCTATTTGTCTTTACTGTACTCGCAATGCTACTGATAGAAATAGCCTGTTGTCTGCTAGTTTGGAACTGTCAATCTGTGTTGCTTCGTCATTTTGTAAAAAAAAAGAATTTGAAGGAAATGCATGTGTTGTCATCTTGAAAAATGTCATCAAAGTATACAAAGTACAGTCATGCATAGCTTTTTTTATCATTTAAATAACAAATAGTTTCAGTTAGAATGCCATTGTTTTTTATGCTTTTGATTTGTTGTTTTATTTGTATGAAAGATAAATTATTAAATCATATTTTGTTAATGAAGCACATGTAATAATTAATCATTATGGCCAAAGAAACTTGTAGTCAAAACGGTGTGATCTGAGTGGAATAAGTGAATAAATAAAACATTCAAAATAAAATAACAGTGAAAAGCAAAAACAATATTAGCAAATTACAGAAACTGTATTTTAAATAGATAAATATCGAACATAAAAGCACAATCAATTAGCCTAAATCAAAGCCTATACAGGCACTGAAAATGAATTTTAGAATGTGTTTCACTGAACATGCAAACTCAATCTAAAATTATGGAACAAACTTCCACTGCCAGTAATTGATGCAGTAATCAGAGCCCAACAATAGTTATTTTTGGTCCTTTTTTCCTTTTTAAAGGTGTTGACAATTAAACTTATTGAAACAATAAAAACATAACTATTTAAGTTTACAGTTCCACCTGCATTTTCTTAGTAAGATGAATATTCCCATATATCAGTACATTGTACAATGAAACTTTGAAAGCAAACTTGACGACCCTGAGTGTCTGTAGGAATCTAAAATGTTAGAATTTGTAAATATAAGGTGAATTATACAAGTGTTATATATGATGATTTCTTTAATTCCAGGTCTTACTTCCAACAAGGAAACAAAAGCTGGCAATCTGGATAGTAAAGAAACACTTTGTGAGAAGTTATCACCTGAATTGCAAAAATGAGGTGTGCAAAGAAATAAGATGTTCTTTGAAAACACATATGACAATACATACTGGCGAGAAGTGTCATGTGTGTAAAATTTGTGATAAAGTATTTTCTCAAGAACAATATCTTACATACATATAGCAACGCATGCTGGTGAGAAGAATTATATATGTAAAATATGCGGCGAAGCATTTTCTCAACAAAAAACTTTGATCACGCATATACATGCTGGCGAGAAAAAACATAAATGTAAAATATGTGAGAAAACATTTTCTCATCGAGGTACACAATGTAATTTGATCACACATATGACAATACACCCTGGCGAAAAGAATCATGTATGTAAGGTATGTGATAAAGCATTTTCTCAAGAACAACATCTTATCATACATATGGCAACATGTACTGGCGAGAAGAATCATAAATGTGAAATATGTGATAAAGCATTTTTTCAACAAGGTACTTTGATCACGCATATGACAACACATACCGGCGAGGAAAAACATGAATGTAAAATATGTGGTAAAACATTTTCTCATCGAGGTAATTTGATCAGACATATGGCAACACATACTGGCGAGAAGAATTATATATGTAACATATGTGATAAATCATTTTCTCAACAAAGTACTTTGATCAGACATATGGCAACACATACCGGCGAGGAAAAACATGAATGTAAAATATGTGGTAAAACATTTTCTCATCGAGGTAATTTGATCAGACATATGGCAACACATACTGGCGAGAAGAATTATATATGTAACATATGTGATAAATCATTTTCTCAACAAAGTACTTTGATCAGACATATGGCAACACATACCGGCGAGGAAAAACATGAATGTAAAATATGTGGTAAAACATTTTCTCATCGAGGTAATTTGATCTTACATATGACAATACATACTGGCGAAAAGAATCATGTATGTAAAATTTGTGATAGAGCATTTTCTCGAGGACAATATCTTAACACTCATATGGCAACACATAATGGGGAAAAGAATCATATATGTAACATATGTGATAAAGCATTTTCTCAACGAGGTTCTTTGAACAGGCATATGACAATACACACTGGCGAAAAAATACATACATGTAAATGTAAATTATGTGATAAAGCATTTTCTTATCAAAGTAATTTGATCACACATATGACAATACACACTGGCGAGAAGAATCATAAATGTGAAGTATGTGACAAAACATTTTCTCATCGAGGTGCTTTGATCACACATAAGAGAACACATACTGGCAAGAAGAATCATAAATGTAAAATATGTGATAAAGCATTTTCTCATGGAGGTAATTTGATCACACATATGGCAACACATACTGGTGAGAAGAGTTATATATGTAACATATGTGATAAAGCATTTTCTCAACGAGGTTCTTTGAACAGGCATATGACAATACACACTGGCGAAGAAATACATACATGTAAATGTAAATTATGTGATAAAGCATTTTCTTATCGAAGTAATTTGATCACACATATGACAATACACACTGGCGAGAAGAATCATAAATGTGAAGTATGTGACAAAACATTTTCTCATCGAGGTGCTTTGATCACACATAAGAGAACACATTCTGGCAAGAAGAATCATAAATGTAAAATATGTGATAAAGCATTTTCTCATGGAAGTAATTTGATTATGCATATGAAAATACATACTGGCGAGAAGAATCATAAATGTAAAATATGTGTTAAAGCATTTTCTCAAAAAAGTCATTTAATTAGACATATGACAATACACACTGGCGAGAATAAGCATTTATGTAATTTTTGTGATAAAGAATTTTCAAACTGCTATTCTCTGAAAACACATATGGCAATACATACTGGTGAAAAGAGTTGTGAAAAAGTTTCAAGTGTGTGATAAAAACCTTTTCTCACCAAAGTGTATTGAACCTTCATTTACTCTGGCGCAAAGAAACATAAGTGCGATGTGTGTATTAAAACGTTTTCTCAAGGAATACACAATTGCGATACAAAACATAAGTGTGATGAAGTGTTTTCTCAACCAATCTTATCACACGTATGATAATACAAACTGGCGATAAGAAATGAAGTGTGAAATATGTGGTATAAAAGGATTTTCTACACAAGTTTCTATACCGCCCCCGTGGTTGATGGGTTAGAGTCGATGACTTCTAATCCAGTTACCTCTCTGGCGTGGGTTTGATCCCCGGGAGATGCTTTGATAGTTTAGCGCGGAGGAAGGTAGTCTAAAAAATTGACGAAAAAATCTCGGTGGGACGCTCTAGGATGGCCCGACTTGAGTGTATGGTCGCCCATATGGGCTTTCAGGTGGCGACCTTAAATAAACGCATTTAAAAAAAAAAAAAGAAAAAAAAAGCTAGTCTAGTACTGGTGTAACTCTCCAGGAACGATGGTTAGTAAACTACCCGCCTATATGACTGAAATACTGTTGGCAAAAGGCGTAAAATGAAACAAACAAACAAACACAAGTTTCTCTTATCACACATATGAAAATAATACACACTGGCTAGTAGAAACATAAGTGTCAAGTGTGTGAAAAAACATTTTCTCACCAAAGTGAACCAAACCTACATATGACAATATACTATGGCGATAAGAAACATAAGTTTGAAGAGTGTGAAAAAGCGTTTTCTCAAGAAATTCATTTTATCACACTTATGACAATACACACTGGCGATGAGAAAGAGAAGTTTGAAGTGTGTGATTAAGTGTTTTCTTAACAATTTCATCTTATCACACTTATGACAATACCCATAAGATGATTTTATCATTTAAATATAAAAACCTTTTTACTGAAGGAATGCTGCCTTAAAGAATGGGCAGAACTTTACGTTTACTTTTCGTTAGTCAATTTTTCACAGAGTTCTCCAAGAAAATCTGCTCTTCAATGATTACAGTCAGTTCATAAAAACGATTGTAACGTGTCAGTTTGGAAATAAAATATAGATGGATCTTAGATAATATCCCGGTTACTTGTTTTATAATACTTGTACTTGTATAAAACTATAAGGTACAAATTTTCATTCTCATACTAAAGAATGTAATTACAATTAAAAAAGAGACTCTTTAAAACACAGCGACTAATTTGTGTAATTGCTGTTCATGTTAAAACCATCCAGGACCAAAGTATTTAAATAGGAATCAGTCCACAGTTATTTGCCTTTCTTTGGCCACAATAATGAAGTAAATCCGCATAAAAGAGTGCCTGTGTTTAATGCCAAATATTAATGAAAAATTGAATGAAAGAGATAGGATAAGGACATTTTCTGAGTTCATTTCAAATAGCTGGTAAATGTTCGTATAGGTAACATGTGATATCTTGAAAATGTTTACTTTTGACTTTGAATCCAGCAATCCGAGTTCAAATCTCGGTAGAACCTATTTTTGTACACAATCAGGGCTCATCCGGAAGGGCGATTCAGGCGAAAACTTCGCCGTGTATATTCCAATTTCGCTCTTCCGATTGATCAAAGAGAAGTCAACATCGCCGATAAAATCTTCATTCCCAAATAGTAAATACTTAGCGATGTAAAGAGCAGAGATTGTATCCGCCCATATGACGACCGCTAATTATCATTATCCAATCAGAGCGTCGCTTTATACTACCCTTCTACCTGTAAGCGAAGCGATAGACCGCCTACTCTAAACAGTAAATAATGAGAGCATCGGCCCGAAACGGTATAATTGTGTGATAGTTTTGCGAGTTTAATACGGGATTTGGCGATAATTATACATTGTTTTTTCCCCGATTATCTAAACACGTGCAATCTTCCCTAATTGATATACACGATGCACTTCGATGGTGGGTTTTTAACCCGAGTAAAGGCGATGTGCAATGGATTTTTCACGGCTATCACAAAACTGTTAGTCAATTAGAAATAATCAATTTCATTAATGATCAGCGACCGGATTAAAAACTTAATCATAGTTTTGAATGATTTCAGTCTGTTAACATCAATTTTTACTGTAAAATTGTTATGTCGCTCACGTCATGGCTACAAGGCGAAATGCCGAAACAGAGCAGTAAGAAAGTTACTGATTCTGATAGTTACACCTACGCGAAAATTTAAGAAAGCCAATTCGCAAAAATCTTGCGATTGGTATGTTGTAGACAGTGGGGGTGTTTGGCATTGTTCTCTTTGTAGAAATGCCAAATTTGACACAGTTTACGCACGTGGGCAAGACATCCCGACTAAACTACATATCGGTCGTATATCATGTAACGTATATAACAACAAAATTTGTCAGGAAAGAAGTGTTCTTATTGTTTCAATATATATATTTGTTTTAATGTCGTAAATATGACGCTCAGATTAAGATTTATCAATATTGTAAATTTTAAAAAGCATTATTTATAAAGATATTACCGAATTTAACAGTTCATGAAAATAAAGGGAGGTAATTAGAAATTATTTTTCTACAATTTCTCAGTCAATTTTTTCAATAAGAAATGAATGTATGTAATTTTAGTGATCAAATATAATGTGCACAAATGTTTGCAGTAATATTTTACATATTCTTTGATGTTTGAAAATTGTTTTATAAGCATAATTATATGCATATAAATGTGACATTACAATACATACATCAGGACTTTGAAAGAAATTTCTGTTACCAGAATAGAATAGAACAGATATTATTAATCAATATCCTTCTATTAACAGTGAGGAAAGTAAAAAATATGAAATTAATTTTATCATCATATCTTTTCTTACACATTATTATCAACAAATGTAGAATCTACATAAAAATATATAAACACATATTTAAAGAAAGCTTATAAATAGCTGATCAATAGATATCAAAAATAATTTTTTATATTCATATTTGCAGCTAAAGAACATTTAGATGCCATTGCCAGATCTACTACTAATTAATCTACTTTTAATTAATACTACTATTAATCAATCTACTATTAATTAATAAACTGGAGAAATATTATAAGTGATGTTATTTGTGTTTATATTATAATTAAAGGATGTATAGCCATGCATGTTAATGCATACACATTGGGTTGTTTCCCTTCTCCCTAATTTTCGCGAGGAAGTCACTTCTCCCTAAAATTTCCCCCCAGGATGAGCCCTGCACAATGGTGATTTTTTTTTTTATCTTTTTATCTTTTCATTTCATACACAATCATTGGCCATTAAGGATTTTTAAAGTTTACTATGAACATAATATAAGTTAACATGTCGGATTCTACTTTCATTGCAAGATCCGTGTATCCACAGCTACTATACCTGAACACCTGTTTAAAACCATATTAATAATTTTAGTGTTGTCCTAGCTATAGAAGGAATTTTGGTAAGCTAAACTTGTAGTGAAATGTATTTGAACTAAAATTTCTCTGAAGGGCTCGCTTTGAGTATTTGCCTCATTTATATGAAGTATATATAACCTGGGACACAAGATAATCATAAGTAAAAGCTTCATTTATATATAATATGAATAATAGGGTATAGGATGAGTTAAGCTTCAATACTAAATTCATTAAACAATATGAACAAAATTATACGAGTATTATTCGAGCATGATATTTGTTATTCTACAAGTGAAGTCAGTTTTGAACATACACGAATATAATATAACATTTTATCACATACCCGAAATAAAACCCTTAACCTCCAAAAAGATACATTTATACAGTGGTACGTTTCCGCCATGGTACGTAACCTCTAAATTCTTGCACAGTTACTCCCCTTTGGTAAATGATCGTCATTGACGGGACGGTAAACTTGGCAGACGACTTTGCAGACAAGTTAAACATCGAGGGATTTTGCAGACAAGTTAAATAAAGAAGGATTTTAGACTTTGCAGACAATATAGATTATATAGGGGATGTTTAATCCCTTGTCAACTGGTCAAAAGGTGTGAATGGGCAATTATGCTGTTGATCAGTTGGTAAGCTGTGTAATAAAAAAGGAATAACAATGTGAAATTTAATAGCATTTTATTTAATGTATTATTACACTTTATTTAATTATTATATTTATCAAATAATGTGATTCTTATTGTGTCGCCTCTACGGAGTAGTGGCGACATATAGGGATCACTTCTCCGTCGTCTGTCTGTCCGTCTGTCTGTCCGTCAGTCTGTCCGCCCGTCCGTCCGTCACAAAACTTGTCCGGACTACTCCTCATAAACTACTGGTGCAATTTCATCCAAACTTTACAGGAATGATCAGTACCAAGTCTAGTTGTGCATATTGTCAGCATTTTCCGGTTCAATGATTTTTGTCAGAGTTATGGCCCTTTAATAATTTTTATTTTTAAAGTTTGTCCGGACTACTTCTCTTATACCACTAATGCAATTTCAGTGAAACTTTACAGGATTGATCTGTAGCTCAAGTCCTTGCGCATATTGCACGGGTTTTCCGGTTGAATGATTTTTGGCCAAGTTATGGCCCTTTGATAAAAAGGTTTCTTTTTCTGTGTGTTGCCAGATACACAAAAGCTTAGTGTCCGGACTACTCCTCATAAACTACTGGTGCAATTTCATCCAAACTTTAAAGGAATGATCAGTACCAAGTCTAGTTGTGCATATTGTCAGCATTTTCCGGTTCAATGATTTTTGTTTGAGTTATGGCCCTTTAATAATTTTTATTTTTAAAGTTTGTCCAGACTACTTCTCTTATACCACTTATGCAATTTCAATGAAACTTTACAGGATTGATCTGTAGCTCAAGTCCTTGCGCATATTGCACGGGTTTTCCGGTTGAATGATTTTTGGCCGAGTTATGGCCCTTTGATAAAAAGGTGTTTTTTTCTGTGTGTTGCCAGATACGCAAAAGCTTGTCCGGACTACTCCTCATAAACTACTGGTGCAATTTTATTCAAATTTTACAGGAATGATCAGTACAAAGTGGTTAGTCTAGTTGTGCACTGTCCGTCTGTCTGTCCGTCTGTCACAAAATTTGTCCCAACATGAAATTGGCCATCATGAGGCGACACATGTGATTACTGATCGGTCTTGTATAAGTAAAACAATATTCATAAAAGTTTTTATAAAAAGTATTAGCAAAATGGTTATATTTCATCTTTCTTACTAAGTATATGAACATAATTACACAAGGATAATTATAGATAAATCTATAATAATTATTGAAAACAAGAAAAAACAAACAATAATTTTCAATATATAGAAAAAG